TTTTTTTTTAGTGAAGTGAAAGGCAGATATAAATTGGCAAAGCTGTTATAACAACTAAGGAATTTGATCCTCATCAAACGTCTTTGACAACATTACGGCGAAAAATTTTCGTAAGCATCCATTTGTTTTAATTTATTTACATAAAACAGCGTTCCCAAGTTTTCCTTCTCAACAAACTTTAAAATCTATCCATATATATATACAAACAAGTTTGTTCATTTTATTTGGCCATATTGTTAGACGATCGTCGTTGTGCCAATGAACAACAATAGGAAGAACAATAACAGTATTATAACATTAAAGCAACAATTTCAGACAAAGATTGATTTCTTGGTATCGCATCTAGAGTGCTTAAATAAGGCACCATCTAATTTACACTGATTAATATTTCCTAACAAAGAACTGGTTTTATAACTTTAACAAATTTTTAGAAAGTTTAAAAAAAGAAAAAAACAAAACAAAAACAACAATACTTTTGTCTGAGAGAAAAAAATTTGAAAGAAAAAACACCAAACCAAAACGAGTTGATTTCAAGTGAAAATCATCCGTTAAAAAAATCATTTTTTCTGTTAAAATCTCAGTATCCTTAAATAACTTTGTACTTTTATGCAAATGTCCTATGACTTCTAAAGTAAATCCGAAGAAAAAAAGAATTTTGAAAACGTAATTAAACACTTTCTTAGCTAAAGATATTCACTAGATGTGTTGGCATTCAGTAAACTCTTTGCAGATAGGCAGTAAGTAGCCTTTTATTAAATGTAATCGAATAAAACTATAAATAGAAAAACAATTGTCGGATGTTCAAAAAAGTGTATCCCAAATGCTCAACTAACAAGGATTGAATAAATCCTCAAAAAAAGAATATTTTTTTTGGTACCCTTTGTTGCTGTTGTCTAAAAAAAGCTGTATTCAAGTATAAAAAATTAAAACATTAAAAAACATGAAATATAATAATACAGGGGCAAATAAGAATAAAATGCGAAGGGGTAAAAAGACACTTAGATTTTCAAAATATTTTTTTTAATACCTCTCCAGTATCCAACAACAACACTCAAGAAAAATACACAGTTCTGTCTTAATTAATTTTAGAGTTCTCAGAAGTTTTTTTCTCTCGAATCTAAACGGAGGTACCCAAGAAAACTTAGTTCGAGTATCCGCCATAGAACAAAGAAAGACAGCTGTTAGCAGCCATAAGATTTTAATCAAATCATTAAGACTGTAGTGGGTGCAAAAATAAAGAAGAGGTAGAATTATGCTATTATAAATATGGAAAGGCTGGAAATTTCGACTTACACTTGCTGACGTGGCCACATTTTTGCATGACCAGTTCTCTCTTGTGTCGTTTCTGAAGAATCAGGATGTTTGTACCTAAACGGTTGATTGGGTGAGTACTTTTCTGTGTTGATATTGGAGGTCTCATCCATGCTTTGGTCAGGATGCGAATAGGCAACATTGTAATTAGGAGCATATGAAGATCCCGGCTGATCCTATACTGACTAATTTAGCGCATATTTGCAAGGGAGACGGTAATTGTTCAAAAAATTTAATATGCCGAAAGTTTTACCTCACAAAGCTGAACAACAATTATAAATTGTTCAGTAAAAAATAGGTGGCAAAAAAAATTTTTTTCCTTCATAATCTTCAGAAAAGCACGTTTACCTGATGGAAAATGTTCAGTTGTACATTAGTTGGCTCAATAAATTCATCCGGAGGAGATTGCGGGTCATCGAAAGAAAAGACCGGGCTTGATGGCGGTGATGGCTCTTTCCTGGCTGAGCGATCATCAGGAACAGATTCGATTTGCTGTGACACATCCTGAATTGGTAAAGGTGTAACTGGATACTGAATTGTTGGTGGGAGTGTTGGTTGTTGCGGATATATAGAATAAGGCCAAACAGATGGCACCGAACGATTGCTATGTTGAACACCAGAATGAATAATCATTCCATTGTGAGATCCATAAGTCGTAATCCGAAGTTTCAAGTCTACGGAGACTTGACCACCAGCCATTTGCATCTTGTATGATGAATATACGGCGACCAACAACTGTTGGGTGCTCACATTCACTGTACGAATTCACTGCGCTCCACCTCTACTCCTTCGTGTTCGTCATCTCTTTTTCTCTGTGTTGCTGTTACTTCTGCTATCGCCAGAATCTTCTCGACACCAATTCAGAAGCCCTTAAAAAATTGTCAGCTTTATCCTAACTAATAAACAGTTTTTCATCAGTAATGTCTGAACGTTTTTTTTTTCTTTCGCTATTATTGGTGACAATTTAGAAACATCCAAAATGACCAAAACAAAATGTGTCCCGAATTTTTTTTTTGTTTTGTATAGTTATGGTGTGAAAGGATGATGAGAGCAGAGAGAGGGTGGTTGCTGCTTAGTGGTTATGTAATGTTAAACGTAACGTTTTGCAAGTCAACAAGGTCTGTTGGTGGCTTGCTATGTTTACTTTAGTCATCACAAGCTTCGACAAACAGACGCTTTGCATCGCAGTAAAATAAAAAAAAAAAAAAAAGCACTTTTTTACAAATACAAAAGTGATTTCTAATCATTCAACCATCCGTCTGTCGTACCAAAACTGAGACGACATTTGAGTAATGGTGAAAAACTAGGCACTTTTCTATTTCCAAACATTCAAAATGGCATCCAATCAGTGTTACCTGTCTTTATAAAGAAAAAGCTGGCTTGTAATTAAATATAATTGTTTGATACAGGAACAATCAGAAAAAAGAAAAAAAGAATTTATATTACTTCCAATATGCAAAAAAAATTACTTACTAAGTAAATATCAGATTTTTTTTAATAGGTAGTTTATTATTGCTGGCAGAGGTGAATAATAAAAGAGCATTTTCAGTGTATGACAAATGAGTATTAGCCAACGGCTCAACACACGTATTTTAGAGGGTATAAAATTTTTGGTTAGAAAACTGTTCATTTATAATGGTTTATTTTCTTTTGCATACTTCTACAAGTAACAATCTTAAGTGACTTTTACGACAGATTAAGACTGACGTTAAACTGTAAAACTGTTGTTGTAAGTTTATTTTTACTAATGCAATAAGAATTTATCG